CTTTGTCCAGGGATGACCAATGTGGAGTTGTCTACAAAATCGATTTGTTTAAATTGTGAATCGTCGTATGGGCCAAACAAAAAGAAAATTAAAGACTCGGAAAAGAACATAAAGCGGATTTAAGAAAATCACCTTCCGAAGTTTCAGTGGTTTCACGTCACCGTTTGAACGAGATGCATGAGTTAGATTGGGAAAACATAAAAGTTTTAGATAAGGAACAATCTTTAATAAAAAGAAGAATTTCCGAAATGATACACATAAAAAGACAAATAAGAGGTATCAATAAACAAAGTGACACGGAAAGTCTGCCAGATATTTATTTTCCTTTTCTTAAGTAAGATTTCTTTTTCTTTTCAATAATAACTCTAGAAATTTCTAATTTGTTTGACTCAGGCGTATAAATAGTGGTATAATACGCGATATAACAAACAACAACACATAATGTCACGAAGAAAGTCTTATTGTGGAAAAGTGTCATTTGATATTCTTCGCTCAGTTTTTTGGCTGTAAAATAGGTAACGATTATATTTCTTTATGTTCGACTAGGAGAAATTAATGACATATAATTTTAATTTAATCAGAATCTGGAAATTCTTGTTCTACACTTTTTGATATGACTATGGGCGTTATAACATTTTGTACGAAGCATCTTCACACTAAAAAGAACATGTTATTTTTATTACAACAATGGGCTGTTGAATTTAATTTCAACTAAATGTATTTTTGCGGTTTATGAAGACTATTGTATTACTGAAGATGGCCAGATTGTGGCCGAAACGTTTAATGTTTTAATTAATATAATAATAAGTAAATATCACAAATTATAACCTGTGGTGTGGTTCTTTATGCTCTTTTTGTATCTTGTTTTTTAATTTTATTAACCCTTTGATCTACTTTTCTCTTACAAATTAAAAAAAGTTAAGCTTTGTACGAACGGCTCTCACCCATGATACTCATGTTTGGCCCGATTTCCTTATCACAAGTCTCACACGATATTGTAAGCGAAAGAATTAATTATATTTTATAGGAAGGAGATCCAGCGCTAATCTAACCTAACCTAATCTGCAATTTCAACTTACTGAAGGCAGCCATATTCCTGGTTGGAAATCGACACATGCGCACTAAAAATTGGAGACCATATAAAAAATTCAGTGTCCATATACTGTATATACTTATACTGTGATCACACCCTCTATTCCGCAGTCCTATAATGCCCATGTCATACTACGCATTGGAAACTAAGGATTGCGAATTGAGGATTAGAATTAAAACGAACTGGATCAAAATTAAAACTACCTGATTGGTTGAATTCTAATCTTTAATTTGCAATCCTCAATCTCCAATGTGTAGTGTTACCCGTATTTACAATCAGGCCTTATATTTAAGACTGAATTATTTCATTGACTGCTGAGCATCTAAAGATAAATTTAAGGAAGCCTTCAGTATAAGGTCTGACTATGAATATAGGCATATGACACGGGCATTAGGCCGGAATCAATCTATGCATTGAAGAATGAGATTGAAAATTGAAAATTTGAAGTTTGACCAATCAGAACAAAAGAAGTCAAAATTCTTCATCTTCATTGATGAAATATTTCAATCTTTAATCTCAATCTTCAATGCATAGTCTGATTCCGGCCTTACGCACCTTGTGATTTCATCCTGCGCGTGCGTTGATCTGTATGCATTAATTTGACGCCGTATATTGCCGCCGTATGTATGAAACTCTCTTCTCTTCTCTCAAGTTCTTTCCTATGATGCCGGAAACAATCAGAAGTCTGTAATTCATGTAAACGCGAATTGCAAACAATACCTACACATGATAAGTGAAACGTGTTTTTATATAGCATAATCAACAGTGTATCGCGTTTCGGAGACAGGTATGACATATCTTTAAGTACATCATAAACATCGTGATAAAAGAATGATGGAAATTGTCGCGCGCACTGAAAAAAATTCACGATAACATAACGGATATTACCTTTTAAAACTGACATTTTCGAGAAAGATCAAATAAAGCATATTAGAATATTAGAACACGTATCTAGGCTCACGTATGTCAAATCGTATCGGTTATAATTGTAATCATTTTATTTATACGCCATGTACATCATCTCTGTACAAAAACAATCTTGATGAAAATCAGTTAGGTTAGGTTTATCTTATAATAGAGGTTACAAGAAGATGTTTCGATTGGAGAAAGTTCGAAAATGCGAAAATCTGTATCCCTCGCAACATGCGTGATATGGCGATGGATAAAATATAAATTAGATTATTAAGATTAAATTCGTAAGTCACACACACACACACACACACACACAGATCGAACGTACATATATATAAAATGTAATTCACAACCTTTTAAAAACATGATTGGGAGATACGATTAGATATTGGTATGCTATAACGCATTATCTTTATAGTACACATATTTACAACATAAGAAATATTTTATTTCTGTAATAATGGCACAATTTGTGTTACTCAACTTTTTGTATAATAAAGAGTTATACATGTTCTAAGAACTATTCTGTATCATTTAATATACCAAATCAAGTACCTTCAATATTATCTTTGTTTTGAATATTAAATATTTCAATATTAATCTTATTTAAATATTTCATATAAAATAAATGTTTTTATTTATCATTTGACAGGATATAATATTTTTTGAAGTTATATTAATATGTGATACATATCAAGATTAAATTACATTATTATAGATTGACATTATGTTATTCATTACAGAGTAATAAGATTCTTTAAAAATGAATGGAATTATTCCTGAAATGGAACAGATTATTAGTCAACTTGAGAGGGGTACGGTAGTGACTAAATTCTTTCCAAGAAAACGGCCAGAAAAAAAAACTTTGATGATAAGGAGAGAAACTAGACAAATTGTTTGGTCGAGGAGTGCGACTTTTAGACCTTTCGATGGTTCAGGTATGATCCTGTCTGCACGCAAAAATCTGTGGAATTTCAATTCTATTTATCTAATATTCTTGTAGATATACATATACATGTCTATAATAGAAATAGATAAATATTGTGATATTGTAAATATATCACCTGTAATTGATTCACAAATGTAAAAAAAAGTTTCTTGTGTATTTATGTGACACACACACACACACACACACACATATATTTCTAATGACAATTTTAAATTTTGCAATCGATTAAATTTCATCTGTTAATATTCTTATATAAGGATTAATATAGTATTGCATTATTCTGCGATATAAATAAATATCTGGACTAATGAAATGTATAAAAAATACATATTAACATGTAAATATTGTTATGCACGAAATCTATTAGAATAAGATCTAAGGAGTTGTAGATACTACAAATTTATCGAATTATGCATGCATAGTGATTGTTTAAATATTTATTTTAATTTATTAAATATTATTTATTTACAGTGGAAATAAGAGAGGTCAAAGAAGTTAGAATAGGAAAACAATCTAAAGATTTTGAAAAATGGCCTGAAGATGCTAAGAGAATTGAAAATTTAAGATGTTTTGTGATATATTATGGATCAGAATTTAGATTGAAAACTCTTTCGATATCTGGTAAATATGATATTCTTTGATTACTTCAAGTGTTGGTTACTTTTGCTAAAAGATATTATTTATGTCAGCTCTTAGTGAGAAAGAATGTGAGCTATGGGTCAAGGGATTGCGTCATTTAGTACAAGACACTATAAATGCACCATATCCATTACAAGTTGAAAGATGGCTTAGAAAAGAATTTTACGCGATGGAAAATTCTCGTGAAACGCAAGTTTCTTTTCTAATACAATTTATTCTTATATTTTACATATTTTTCTCTATATGATGATGGATGCAATTTATCTATAGATTATTTATATATCACTATATTTTTTTTATATCAATATATACAAAACAATTATTATTAACTATCGTTTTCATGTTTATTATACCGACTGACAGGGTCACATTGAAAGATGTAAAAGCATTTTTGCCTCGGGTTAATTGCAAAATTGCTACAAATAGACTCAGAGAATTGTTCCAAGAAGTAGATACGAGAAACCGAAATGAACTTGGTTTTGATGATTTTGTCATTCTGTACCATAAACTAATGTTTGATCAAAATGTGAGTAAATATTGTAATATTCTTGTGTATGAAAAGAGATCAGCATCAGCACTTATTTGTGCACAAATTATAATTGGTATAATATTTTTTACAGAATCTCGCGGATTGGCATAAATTATTGAATTATTCTAAAACTGGACAAACTATTACACTCCAAGAATTCCAAAATTTTTTAGTAACTGAGCAACAAGACAAATTGGGAAATAATGAGTTAGAAATATCGCGTTTCATTAGAGATTATTTGCAAGATTCTCAAAGGGACATACAAGAGCCATACTTTACTTTTTCAGAATTTATAGACTTCTTATTTTCTAAGCATAACGACATATGGAATCAAAAATTCAACCAAGTTTCTCAAGATATGACTCGACCCCTTGCATATTATTGGATAGCATCGTCGCATAACACGTATGTAATCTTTAAAGAAATGAAAATGCATATGTTTTAATTACTCGGACTATATGTGTAATTTTCTAGATACTTGATGGGAGATCAGATTAGCAGCGAAAGTAGCTGTCAGGCCTATGTCCGTGCGCTGAGAGCAGGGTGCAGATGTATAGAACTTGATTGTTGGGATGGTCCAGATGGAATGCCATTTATATTTCATGGACACACTCTCACCACTAAGATCAAATTTTTGGATGTTATTAAAACGATCAAGGAGCATGCTTTTGCTACATCTGAGTAAGTCTCAAAAAGGAAAGAGCAAAGATGAAAAGAAACAAACTAATTATTTTTACATAACTATTATTTTTCTATTGACATTTTCTATTGTTTTATTTACGTAGGTATCCTGTTATTTTATCTATCGAGGATAATTGTACTTTGCCCCAACAACGTAAAATGGCAACGACTATGCAAGAAGTATTTGGTGACATGTTGTTAGTTCAACCTGTTGACAAGAATGAAACTTGTCTACCTTCACCATATGCATTACGTAGAAAAATTTTGTTAAAACACAAGAAACTTCCTGATGGTGTTGATGAATCCTCATTTCTTGTTCGAAATGATGAAAGCAGACAAGAGATGGATCTTAGAAATACTATAAAAAATGGGATTCTTTATCTGGAAGATCCAATTGATAGAGAATGGAATCCTCATTTTTTTGTATTGACACAACAAAAGTTATTTTATACAGACACATTTTCAAGAGCTCAGGAAACCGAACACGATGACGATGAGGAAAATAGCATTCGGAGATCATTAGATGTATGTACATTATATATATTAGGTGTTGGAATTAATTCGTAGCGTTTTTAATGAAAGAATGTTATTTATTTCACATGAGCATTAAAAAATACATTAATGAAAGTACTTCCCATCACTTGTAAAACGCTACGAATTAATTCCAACACCTAATATATAAAAAAATACAAATTAGATTCATTATTAATTGTGATTTATAATCAGTATTGGGTAAGTTAATATATATTTTTTTAATAAATTAAGTTAAAGTTAATGATTTATCAAATTAATGTAATTAAATTAAAAGTTGAATGAACAAAAAAACTAGCTCAGTTAAAGTTACTTTAAGATTGAATTAACTCAAGTTAAATAAAAAGTTAATTTTGAAAATTATTTTTATTAAAAATTAGAATATCTTAATTTTTTAAAAATTGGATTTCTCTAAATAATTTCTTAACAACAAAACAATTACAACATAGATTATCGGATAAATTTAATATTTTATTTGTAAATTATAATAATAAATAAAGATATTTGTACATTAAAAAATTGATTTTTAATATTTTTACATAAATATTTTCATATTTATATTATAAAAGAAAAATAAAATGTTATTTTTAAAAATGTAAGTATTCCTCTTTGTGCTGGTCATACCTGTTTGAAAATTATATATAAATAAAAAATTTTTATTCTTTATCACTCATCAAACGTAAAACAAAAATAGCATAACACAGTAACATTGATAGCATTCCTTACATGCAG